AGAGAGAGAGAGAGAGAGAGAGAGAGAGAGAGAGAGAGAGAGAGAGAGAGAGAGAGAGAGAGAGAGGGAGCAAGAGAGAATTATATAAATATAAATATAAATTCCTAGGAATCGAACAAGAAAAAGGACAGAGGCTGCCCTTACAAACCCCACAGATTCAGCTAGGTGGCAGCATTAACCATCCTTTCCAAAAATGAAGCGCTTCTCGGATGGGAGACCACCAGGAGATCTGAGTCTAGGCAGGCAGAGCAAATCCCCAAAGAGGGCAATTCGTTTCAACCACACCCCTTCCAAAAAAAAGAAAAAAAAAGCCACGGACGCGTCCCGGATAAGAATGAAAGAGGGCGCCCCCATCCTCCCTCAGCGCAAGACCTTCCCCCCGAAACGGCACCTGAAAAGCCTCCGGGATCCGTCTGGCCGCCCCGGAGCCGCCAACTGAGGAAGAGCAGATAGCGGTCCATGACTGACGCCGACGCGGTTAAACCTCCCGCGCCTCCCCTGCGAGACTTCCCGCTTCGGCTGACCCGCCCCTTCCGCTTCTCAGACAGGTGCTGCTCTGGCTTCTCGTCTCCGTGACCCAGGCGGCCCGCCGCTTCCGCTCGCGCTGGGGAAGCCATGGCGAGCTTCACCAAGTCTGCACAGGTACGGGGGTGACTTTGTGTCCGACCGCCTCGGGATGGAGGGGGGAGCTTTCTCGGGCAGGTCCGGCTCCCGAGGAAGCCGCCTGTGGAAGAAGGAGCCGTAAAAGGATTGGGGGAGGACAGGCCGGCCGGCTTTCAGAGGCTTCCTCCGCGGCATCTCTCCCCGTAAGAATCGTCTTGGAGACTTGGGGTCTAGTCAAGAGTAACGGCTGGATGGATGGTTTCTCGACACGTGAAGAGTCCGGAGGATGTTTCTGGGTGGGCTTAAAGACATGTTTTCTCAGCCTTAGCCGCTTTTAAGAGGAATGAACTGCAACTCCCAGAATTCCCTATATAACATGGCTGGCTAGGGAATTCTGGGAGTTGAAGGCCGCATCTCTTAAAAGCTGCGGTTGAGAAACCCTGGCTTAAAGCAATATGAATCCCCACAGTTGGACTCTGACTTTGTAGCTGGAATACATTGGCTCACGATTCTAGAAGCAACAAATAAATGTAAATAAATAATAATGAAGTCCAACCAATGCTGAGCTTACATATATATACTGAATCTAGGAAATGTGAGTAGTATGAGGGTTTTGTTTGTCCTTTAAGGGTTGCCAGACCATTACAGGGCTTGCTGCAAAGTCCAGAGTCTTTGGGAGACAGGCAGCATATAAATTTAATTTTTTTGTTATACTTTTATTCATTAAACATGAAACTCAGTCAACTGGACGTTTAAAAATGTATCACAAATATCATTGACTGGTGCTAATGGTTGTTTTTCTGACCCAAGCCTTGTTCAAATTAAACACAAACTGTGTATAAAAGCAAACCTTTTTTAATGCGGCACTGGGAATTCAGTACATTCCCAGCCAAAAGACATTTAAACCTAATTGTCCGGTATCAAAAGCAAACCCTTTCAAGGTTGAAAAAAACTGCCAAGAACAGAAGATTAATTACTGATTAAATTATTCAACGACAGAAGTTTCAAAAACAAACCGGAGTAAGCAAGGCTTCAATGAGAACTCTTGAGTCTAAAGAACTTCTTTGCTTCCTGCAAAGAACACATCCCCGAGGGCTGGTTTTTATCCCTTATGGGAGGGGCCATCACTTTCCAGCCTTACTCCCAAGTCGCCCTTGCTGCTTCAGCTGCTCTTTCCTTTGAGCAGTGCTGCGCGCACACGCACTGGGCACAGGCTCCCCGGGGTCTTCTGTGTCACTACTGCCAGACTCTACAAGCTCTGAAGGCAGCACCCTACTCTCTGATAGTCCTGGCCCCATCCCTGCATCACACCCAGGCCCCTCATCTGAGTCGTCGCTATCAGAGACCTCTGCTGCCAATTCCTGTTGCTGGCAAACCACA